AGTCTCCTATCTACTTACTCCAGGACTTCTGTGAGGATCGAATGAGACGAGGCACGGGAAAATGCTTCATAGATATTTGGTTACAGGGTAAAGTGTTTCCACCTGGCTATAATTGATCCTGGGCTGAAGACACTGCAAGGAGGCTAGTCCTGACTAAGGAGAGGGCCTGGGAGATGAAATCTGTTCTGAACGTAATGAGTTTATCTGTATGACTATTCTTCCTATTATAAATTCTGATTTTTTTAAAAAAATATTTTTTTTTAATTGATTTCAGAGAAGAAGGAAGATAGAGAGATAGAAACATCAATGATGAGAGAGAATTACCAATTGGCTGCCTCCTGCACACCCTCTATGGGGGGATTGAGCCTGCAACCGGGGCATGTGCCCTTGGCCGGAATCCAACTTGGGATCCTTTAGTCCGCAGGCCAACGCTCTACACACTGAGCCAAACTGGCTAGGGCTAAATCCAGATTTTAATGGAGTTTCACAGCTGCCCACCTATCAAGTATATACCAGCCTTTGTGATTATCTTTAAGCTTGCCCTGCATTTTCTTAAGTAGTGAAAGTCATATTCTGGAACTATACAGGATATATAGGATAGCTATTTTTTTAAAAAAATACAGCATGCAATGCTCAACGGACAGAACTTATACCCACCAAATATAATTACAATAGTGTTTAGTAATTGACTAAAGATATTCAAATGCCACCCAGCTGGTATGTCTCCGTGGTTGAGCTTTGACCCATGAACAGGAGGTCAAGGTTCGATTCCAGGTCAGAGCACATGCCCGGGTTGCAGGCTCCATTTCCAGTAGAGGGTGTACAGGAGGCAGCCGATCAATGATTCTCTCTCATCATTGATGTTTCTATCTCCTTCTCCCATTCTCTCTGAAATCAATAAAAATAATTTTAAAAAAGATATTCAAATGCCAATGAGGAGAGGATGGCTGAATAAAGAATAAACTTAGAACTACCAGAGACTACTATCATTCCATGCATATTACCAGAATTCAATAATTTTACTTTAATAATAAGAGCATCTCCAGTGCACACTATGTGACAAAAATTCATCTAATCATTTGACGTGCACTCATTACATTAAGGAAGGTATTATTATTGTTGGCTAGTGTTATTGTATTTTCCACATTTTACAGATGCGGAAACTGAGGTCCAGAGAGGTTAAGTAACTTGCTTTTAATCAGTTACTATTAGGATATTAATTTGGCTGCTAACAGGCCCAAAGTAGCAATGGCTTAGACAAGATTGAAGCTTAATTCTCTCTCATGTCAGTCTCACTAGGAGCAGTCCAGGGCTGATAAGGCAGAGCAACATGCTACTTTCATGTTGCTCTGCCTTCCCTAAGGGCTGCCCTCTTTCACCTTGTCAAAGAAGGAACAATGTCACCTCTGCATTCCATTTCGGGGAGGGGAAGGGAAGGAAATAGAGGATCCAGCCCTCTTTTCAAGGGCATGGCCTGGAAGTTGTGTTCACACTCCATTGGCCACATGGTCACATGGTCACATCTCCTTGCAAAGGAGGCTAGGAAATGTGGTCTTTATTCCGGTCACATGTCCGGTTACAGTTCAGGGAAGAAGGGGAGAATGGATACTGGAAATCAAACAGTGATCTCTGCCACACTCAGAGGTAGAACTGGGCTCCAAACCCAACAGTTTGACTTCCAAACCAAAACTCTTCACTATTCATCATACTGTTGTCTAAGAAGAATCGAATGAGGTCAGGAGTTGGTAGGGTCTTTCTGATCCTCCCTGGCTCCCTCCCAACAGTTTGAGACTTTCTTTTAATATTCTACTTTGAGTACATGCCCATGAGCAAACACACACACACACACACACACACACACACACACACACACACGATATAGCCTATAACTCTCCCAGTTAGAGTTTTTAGAGATAGGTATCCATTGATGGGGAACCAGGTAATGTTTTCGGTCATCCTTTACTTATAGACTTTCAGTTTTTAAGTTTTCTTTTTTATTTCATTTTACCACTTTCCTTCCTTCCTTCCTTCCTTCCTTCCTTCCTTCCTTCCTTCCTTCCTTCCTTCCTTCCTTCCCTCCTTCCTTCCTCCGCAAGTTGCCAAATGCCTCACACTTCATGATGCTTAATGAATCATACCATCATCAGTTTTAGCAATTTTCTCTGCCACCAGACTGTATGGGCCTGGAAATCACTCCTCACAGATGAAATTACCCCATCTTTCATTAGCAAGTGGGGCAAGCTAGGGTCACTTTTAAGAGTACTTGGAAAGCACGAGAACATTCCAAATCAGTATCAAACGAAACGAATTTGCCTCAATATGATCATTCTTATGAAAAGATTAATTTTATCTCATTCATTCCCAAGTGCTCTGTTTCAGCTCAGTGGGATACTATCACAATCAAGAAGCTTCCTCATGGCCTCTGTGTGTACAACTGCACCCCTGTGCCCCTCTCCCTCCACGACAAAAGCAATTTTGATGGAACCTCCGAAGACACTTGAGACATGTTTTACAAAACTAATTTTAAGTGCGTATTCATTCAATTGAGCATTCCTGGTGTGGCTCCGTCAGCTGTGCAGAATGCCACAGCAATGAGGACATTGTTTGTTCCAGAGCAGGAGATGCCAATGTGATGACAGACATTTTTTTAAGGCATGGAGCTGGTGGCTGTTGAGTCTGCATTTCCTGACATTCACAATGGACGTGAGCCCCTGGATTGTGAGCAGAGAGTTAGTTAATAACTTATTTTTTCTAACAGGCTGAACAATGCAAAGTGCTTTTAAATAATTATGTCATCAGATCTTAACAATAGCTCTATGAGGTCAGTAGGGACAGACTGGCAACCGAAGAACATCCTACACGTCATTCTCAGAAGACAAAACCCTGCTCCCCGGACTTTCGAACCTGGGGACTCCCCAGCAAGTAGGGAGATTACGGTAACTATACTGCTAGTCAATATAATTTAAGCACACTTAATTATATTATTTTTTCAACAAATGCTCATTGAGCCCCGCCTACAGGCCAGGGCACTGCAAAGTGTTAGGGAGCCACAGATCAGCAAGACATAGTTGCTTCCCTCAGGGAACTCCGCCTGCTGGGGGAGGGGTGAGAGGTGAGCACCACTATCTATCATCAGATGCTGATCCTGCCATCATCCATGTCTTCTGGCAAAGTGTGAGGGGAAAGCAGGCTTCAGAGATTTGTAGGGGACCTTTGTGCTCAGTCCTGAAGTGTAAGTAGGATAATGCCTGGCAGGAACGTGCAGGGAGGACATTGTAGAGAGTGGTCACGGCATATACGGGGGACAGAGGCTTGGTCTGCACAACTTCTTCAGAGAAGTGAGAGAAGTGTGTGGCTAGAGCAGTGGTTCTCAACCTTCTGGCCCTTTAAATACAGTTCTTCATGTTGTGACCCAACCATAAAATTATTTTCGTTGCTACTTCATCACTGTAATGTTGCTACTGTTATGAATCGTAATGTAAATATCTGATATGCAGGATAGTTTTAGGCGACCCCTGTGAAAAGGTCATTCGACCGCCAAAGGGGTCGCGACCCACAGGTTGAGAACCGCTGGTAGAGCATGGGTGGGGAGGAGGGATGCCTCCAATTAAGCGGATGGTGGAGGGCCTTGTTTGCCATGCTACAGTGTTTGAATCCTTTCCTCAAACTAGGGAGGTGGAAAAGAGATTTAGTAGGATGTGAGCCCAGACTCCACGGGCTTGTTGACTTGGGGAAGTTACTTTACCACCATCTGTAAAATGGAGGTAACACTCATGAGTTAATTTTGGACGTTAACAAGCTAGTGTATATGTAAAGTGTTTAACATAGTGCCTTTGACTACACAGTAGGTAGTCAAAGACATCTGAAATTTTAAAGCAGAAGAGTATTAAGATCAGCCCTGGCCTGTGTGGCTCAGTGGCTAGAGCATTGGCTTGAGCACCTAAGTGTCGCAGGTTTGAATCATGGTCAAGGGCAGGTACCTCAGTTGTGGCCCCAGTTGGGGCTTATGCGGGAGGCAATCAATTGATGTGTCTCTCTCACATTGATGTTTCTCTCTCTCCCCCCCTCCCACCCTCTCTCTCTAAAAAAAAAAAAAATCAATGGAGAAGAGTGTTAAGATCAGATTTGATTTTTTTGGAGGAAAATACTGGGTACTGGAGAAGGAAACCATCTGTGGTTCTCAAATCTGACTGCCCATTATAATCATCTGCTCCAGCTTCACTCCCCAGATATTCTGATTTCATTAGTCTGGGATAGGGCCAGGCATTAGGGTTTTTTTAAAAAAATGTTTTTATTTTATTAAAACTTTTTTTTATTGATTTCAGAGAGGAAGGGAGAGAAAGAGAGAGATAGAAACACCAATGATGAGAATAATTGATTGGCTGCCTCCTACATGCCCTCTACTGGAGATCGAGCCCACAACCCAGGCATGTGTATTGACTGGTAATTGAACCGTGACCTCCTGGTTCATAGGTGGACTCTCAACCAACTGAGCCACATCAGCCAGGGCCCGGCATCAGGATTTAAAAACCTTTCAGGTGATTCTAATGTGTAGCCAGATTTGAAAACCACTGAATTAGGTTCAGTATTAGTCAGCTGGAGAGAGGAGAATAGCAGCAGAGTAGGAATGGGAAGGAGAAAAGCAGAAAGATTTGTCAACCCTGAGAAAGAAAATGCCTACCAAGAAGAGTTCCTGGTGGGTAACTGGGCTCAAAGTTAAAAACAGCGCTTAACAGCTGTTTCTAAACAGGTGCCTCTCACATAAGCCACACTCCAGGGAAAAGCCTGCACTAAGGTGCCTGCCTCCCACACTGAACTGTCTGTCTGCACTGTGTTCCTGACAGCTGAGCCAGTTCTTACAAAGGAGCACCTGAGTCATATTTCAACCAATAGGACTGAGACTTTTTCCATCCAATTGGAGCTGTACTGACCAATCAGAGTGGCCCCATTCTGACCAATAAGGACAGTGCTCTTTGGACCAACCAAACTGTGAGGATTTGGAGTCTTCATCTGCATGAGGACAGACCAATCAGGTGGGCCTAGGCCTGGGGCTGTGAAGACAGCGCTACTGGACTGGACCACAGCAGAGCAGAGCTGTCTAGCTGGAGAGGGACCAGGACCCGGGATTTCTCTGTATATACTAGTAAGTAAGCTCCCCTGTGGCTTGGGGAGTGCACGTTCCCTTCCCACCAAAGACTAAAGGCTGGGCTGGGCTGGGGGTGGGCCTGGGCCTGGGGCTGCGAAGACAGCGCTACTGGACTGGACCACAGCAGAGCAGAGCTGTCTGGCTGGAGAGGGCTACCTGACCCAGGACCACTCACAGCCATGCTATATCACAACTGAGCTGTTTGCCCGGAACAGTTGCCTTCGTCGTCAACCCCAAATTGGGGATTCCTGTTGGTGTTGAGTTAGCGCCAATGACCACTGGTTGACAGATTCCAGAAACATTTTGGAGAGATAATCAATAAGCCTGTGTGACTAATTAGAAGTTGTGAGAGAAAAAGGTGTGAGGTCATCCCATTAACCCACACAGGAGGGGACCCCAGAGGTGTTTACGTTTTGGTTATTATTTATTGCTTTTTCTTTAATATGTAGGAGGCAGGAGTTGGCAAGGAAAAAAAAACAGTTTATTCAACAAACATGTACTTAATAAACATAGTCCTGACTTAACAGTGGTTTGATTTACAAATTTTCCTCTTTCCAATGGTGCAAAAGCAATATGCATAATGAATTATGTGAGATATTCAACGCTTTATTATAAAATTGGCTTTGTGTTATAACATGGCTTTGCTCAACTGTATGCTAGTGTAAGTGCTCTGGGCATGTTTAAGGTAAGCTAAGCGATGTTTAGCAAGTTATGTATAGTAAATGCATTTTCAACTTATGGTATTTCCAGCTTACAATGTGTTCATTGGTATATCACCTAATCTTAAGTCAAGGAGCATCTGTATACACTTACTAAGTGCAAATGGATTTTGTTTGCCCGTAGAACATGGAAATGTCACACAGGCAGCTGCAAATGCCAGTGCAAGTAGTTGTCAGTCATCAGTTCATGGCCAGCTGGTGGTGGAAGGGTATGGATGAGATCATTCAGGAGACCAGAGAAGGAGACATGACCACCAGTTCTGGAACTGAGAGGGACATGGACTCTGGAGGCCACACTGAAGGAGAGGGAAGCATTTGCGTGGGAAGGTGAGGGCCAGGAAAGGGGCAAGAGTTCCCAGAAGCCGCGGATGGGCAGCCATTGTGTAAAATACAGCAGAGAGAAAGCCTGAGGCGAGGACCCGGAGGAGCAGGCCCTGGGCTCGATAATTAGGAGGTGGCCATGGCTTTGGAGACAGTGGCAGGGACAGAAGCCAAATTCCAGTGGGTGCAGGCAAGAAGAAAGTGAGGAAGCACGCGCATCGGTGTAGGAAGTTTGGGGTAAAAGCAGTGAAAGCAGTAGTTGCAGGGGAGGAAGGGTGGAGGATGAGAGCTTTCTTTTAGGTTGGAGTGGTGTTATTGTAGTCTGAGGGGAAGGAGCCAGGCCGGAGGAAGCCATCAAAAATACAGACGAGGGAGGAGACGGCCGGTGGAGCCAGGGCTCAGCTTCGGCAGGCAGCCCAGGGCTCACAAACGCTGGGAGAAGAATTGCTCTTGGGTAACAGTGGGGATATTGTTCCTTTGAGGTAGAAGAAAAGGAGTTTCGAGAATGGTCCAGTCCTTCTGCCTGGGAAGCCATCCACGGTCATTTCTGTCTCCCAGGACAGCTTCCTAGCCATTCTCCTTTCCAGTCCCAGTTCCCAGAATGCAACCTGTTCTTTCCCCCTCGGATGCTGCCACCACTCCAGACTGAGGCTGGCTGGCGAGTAGCTGTAATATCTGAGGTTTCACCTTCGTGTCTCCAAAGGAGAAGCTGGGCCTTTAGCGGTTTGGAGTTGATGGTTACTCACCATGTGCGGAGAATCCAGCTGAAGTCACAGGAGTTATGGATTCTCACGGTTCTTCAGTCACTAACGCTGGTCCATTTTTCCTTTTCCTCTCCTCTCTGAGCTCTCACATGGCATCTTGCTTCCAGGTGCTTTGCTGACCATTCCCTCCTTCCTAAGAGGCTGTCTCCTGCCCGGCAGGTGTGCTCAGTGGTTAGGCATGGACCCATGCACCGGGGGGTTGCAGGTTCAATTCCTGGCCAGGGCACATGCCTGGGTTGTGGACTCGGTCCCTGGTAGGGGGCATGCAGGAGGCAACTGATCGATGTTGAGGCTTCCGTCTCATTGATGATTCTCTCTCCCTCTCCCAGCCTTTCGCTCTAAAATCAATAAAATCATTTTTTTTTTTTTAAAAAAAGGCTTTCTCTGCCTGGTATTAATGACATTAAATCTCCTTGTTGTTCTCCTGCGCACATTCCCCTGCCCAGGGCTCTGTCCTAAGCTCTTCTTTTTCCCAAATACGCTCTCTCTCTGGGTCATCTCATCCAGTCCCATCATCTTAACTCTCCTCTCTGCTGACATAAGAAATGTCTAAACCTGTAGAGAGTTTTCTGAGCCGAACTGATGACAACTGCCAGGAAGCAAGCTCTCAGATGCTCTGGAGAATAACAGTTTTGCAGTTTCTTTATGCATTTGAAATTAAGGAGGGAATGTAAGGAATATTACATGAAGGTGGGGATTGGATTACAGCAGGGATTTTCAACCCGTGTGCTACAAGAAGTTTTGAAACATGCGATACCTGACTATTTAGTCAGGGGCACTGACCTCTTTTTCCTTAGATTGTCAAATTAAAAGATGACAACGGCCAACACAACAATAGCTGTTGGGTGTGAATGAATCAAAATTTTACCCACTTTTTGTCAGATTGGCAAAAAATATATTTCTTGGTGTGCCACAAAACTTTAGTAATTCGTTGATGTGTGCCATGAGGTGAGAAAAAGGTTGAAAATCAATGGATTATGAAAAAGTTAAGATTATGTGCCCTCTTGAGGGTGGTTATGCCTTTAAGAGGTTATTACTTCTGGCATTTCTAAGGTGTGTTGACCTAGATGCAAAAACAGTTGGTAGGGCTGTCTTAAAACCGTCACTAAAATAGTTATAGGCCTGGGGCGGGACTACCCACCATCCTCTGCCCAGTTAGGAATTTATGACCAGCTCCCCCCGTGAGGTGACTTTCTGTAGAGCCCCTTTTTTATCCACATCTCTGTGGTGATGTCTCCCCAGTTCTGACCTCGCACTCCAACACCAGAACTCCCCTCCTTGTGACTGACATTTTCACAGGGATGTCTCATAGGCCTCTCAATCTTAACATTCCCCAATTTTCTTCCCTTCCATCTGCCTTCCCTCTAATTCAACTCAATATATGCTGGTAATTTTTCCTCGTTTTGTTACCCAAAACCCAAGTCATCCTTCATTCTTCTCTTTCACTTGCCTCCCAAATGGAATCCACCAGTAAATCCTTTTGACTCGCCATCTAAGATATATTGAAATCTGCCCATGCCCTCCATCTCCAGTCTAGATCAGTGCTACTCAAAAAGTGGTTTGCAGACCAGTGGCGTCAGTAGCACCTGTGAGCTTGTTGGAACTGCAGAAATCTTGCCCTGACCGGTGTGGCTCAGCTGGTTGGAGCCTAGTCCCACACACCAAAGGTGGCAGGTTCCATTCTGAGTCAGGATTCAAACCCAGGTTGTGGGTTCCACCCCTAAAGTTTGAAAAGCAGTACTCTGCTACAAGCCTTTATGATTTCTGTCCAGGCCACCTCAATAACCTCCAACTCAGAGGTTCTCAACCTGTGGGTCGTGACCCTTTGGGGGTCGAACGACCCTTTCACGGGGTCGCCTAAGACCATCGGAAAAACATATGTAATTACATATTGTTTTTGTGATTAATCCCTATGCTTTAATTATGTTCAAATTGTAACAATGAAATTGGGGGTCACCACAACAGGGGGAACTGTATTAAAGGGTCGCGGCATTAGGAAGGTTGAGAACCACTGCTCCAACTGGTCTCCAGATTTACCTCTTTGCCTCCCTACAGCCTGTTCTCCTAGCAGCCAGATTGAGTGTTCCTAAAAGAAAAACAATTAAATCAGATTACATCACACATGTACACACCCTTCCCGCCCCCATCACCAGTGTAAAACCTCCCATAACTTCCCACTGGACATAGTACAATCCGGGTTCTCTTTTCTGGTCCACAGAGTCCCAAGGTGAGATCTGGCCACGCCTGTCACTCCTGCCTCTGCCAGCACCGCCCTTCCCACTGCCTCCAGCCTCCAGGTAAACGGCCCCTCCCTTCGACAGGTGCACCCAGCTTGTTCCCGACGTGTACTGGCTGTTCCTCTGCCTGGCGTGCTCTTCCCTTGAACTTTAATAGCTAATTTCCTCATGCCATTGGCTTCTCGTTGAAAGTGGCACCTTTAGCGAGACCTTCACCAACTCACCGAAGTAGCCCCTCTACCAAACTGCATGGTTTTAACCCTCTGCATAGCACTTACTACTATCAATTAAATTATTGTCTTGTTTACTTATTGACAAATGTAATCTAAATATTATGAGAATAGGGACCAGGTTTGTCTTGTTCACTGCAGTGTCCAACTACCTGGAACTGCCTGGCACGTAGTAGACGCTCAATAAATATTTACTGAGTGAACTTTACTTCTTCCTTCTTTGTAGGCCTGAGGTTGCTGTGTGTGAACTAGTATCCACCAGATGCCCACTTACTCCTCTCGTGTGGCTGTGTGTCTAGGAGCCTGCAGGCAGTGCCTCGTCTCTGTGGCCCTGGTCCACATGATGGTGTGGTCCTCCCAGAGCACATCTCATGAGGAGGCAAGAACCCAAGAAGACATTAACCTCAACAGGAGGCGAGAATGGGAGGAGGATGTCAGCAGGCTACTTTCTTGGGAGGAAATCCGAGTCGATGCCTGAGGGCCTCTATTTTTGTTGTGTGGTTGTTGCGTACTGCAGTAGGGGGAGTTGCCTAGTTTTTAAGAACTTGAGTGTTGTGGTCCGAGATGTCTGGGTTCAAGCCCTGGCTCTGCCATTTACTGCTGTGAGACCTTGGGCAAGCTCCTGACACTCTCTAAGCCTCAGTTTCCCCATATATAGATCGGGATAATAACTGTATCTACAACGCAGAACTGTTGAGAGTCTTACATGTAATATCTCTAATAAACTAGGCAGATGGTAAGCCACCCCGTACATGTCAGCTATTATTATTGCTGCTATTATTTTATACTGAGAGAGAGGAAACTATGAATAATACCGAGGACTAAAAAAAAAAAAAAAAAAAAGGTACTACCATGCTCATAATAAGAAAAATGCATGCTAGAAGTACATTGAGATCTCATTCAGCACCTTCCAAATTGGCAAAGCCTAGAAAGTCAGCTGACACTGTTGGTGGAGATGTAAGGAAGCTGGTGGGAGGGTGAACTGGTACAACACCCCCTCTCCCCCGCACCCCTGCAGAGAACATTGGCAATAGCTAACAAAATTCCAAGTGAACGTACGCGTTGGCTCAGCTAGTCCCCTTCTAGGAATTTTTGCTGCAGATATTCTGGCACGTGTACAAAATGATGTATGGAAAGGTTATTGCAGCACTTTTTGAGTATCAAAATACTGGAAGCAACATCTATATCCATTAGTAGGGAACTGGTTAAATATATAACGTGGCAAATAAAATGAGAAAGTTTCTTTACGTGCTGATATGGAACACTTTCAAAAATAGATTGGTGAAAAAGCAAGGTGCAAGATCAGATGTAGAGTAGGACCCAGCAAAGAGCAGGCCATGGGGAAAATGTATATGTGTACATATCCTCTTGTATAACTGGAAGGTCTCTGAAAGAACAGAGTAGAAGAAAAAATTCTTAGTGTACACTCTTTTGTATCTCTTGAATTTTGAACTGTGTGGATGCATTATCTCTTTTTAAAAAAGGCAAACATTCTGATTTTTGAAAACTTAATTGTTAGTACTGATGCGCAATGCCTCTGACTTGTTATATGATGACTGGACCTAGGAATGTTACATCTCTTCTAATAATAACTAACTTGAGAGTCAGAGGCAATAACGAAGAGCTCTGGCTGGTATGGCTCAGTTGATTGGGCGTCGTTCCATCCACCACAAAGGTTGCCAGTTGGATTCCTGCTCAGGGCACATGCCCAGCTTTTGGATTCAATCCCTGGTAGGGGGTGTGCAGGAGGCAGCTAATTGATGTCTCTCTCTCTCTCTCTCTCTCTCTCTCTCTCTCTCTAAAAATCAGTAAAAATCTTTTTTGAAAAGGCAATAACAAAGATACTGAAAAATCCAAAAATTCTTGGATGCTGTCCTTCAGGGTGTAATAGTTGGCTTACAAAGAAGATGCCGGCGAGCAGATAATAAACTGTGCCTGTGGTTATCTATGTCATCCTGAAGAGAATGTTCTAAATTTCTTCTAAGTGTTTGAAAACAATTTTTTTCTTTCTCATTTTCAAGCATAAACACAGATACCATGTAGCTGGAAGAAAAAATAGCACGTATCTGGAAGTTTTCAAGCAATATGGTTGTGACTGTTCTCGTTTAGAAAGAGCAAGAAGGAAAGGGAATATACTCTTCTTTACATCTCTTCTGCACTTCTTTTCGCTAGAGATTTTGTGGGGAGAACCCTGAGGACGAAGAGCTAGGAGGAAAGTGAAGTCAGCCCCCTAAGGGCACTGCCTCTCCATTTTAAGAGTGTCTTTTCATGGCACTCCTCTGGGTCCTGCCAAACTGCCGATTCCTCCAACTTCCTTACCAACACATGGTCAAACCGTACGCGTCTCCCCCTGGCCTCTGATTTCTTTCTAACCCCCTGACTCCCTGTGAGTTTATTTGCCCTGTATCCTGCGACTGAGGGCTCAGGGGATCTTACACAGGTGTTGATATTACTTAATTGGGTATTTAATTTTATAAACATTTATTGAGTTCCTACTGTGTATCTGGCACCACCTCAAGGGAGACAGGATTAGAATACGGTGTGAGAAGTACGTGAGTGTTATGTAAACACCACGAAGGAGCAGCAACCCAGCTTTGGTGGGAGGGGATGTTAAGGAGAGATTCCGGGGGAAGTGGAAGTTAACCTGGGGGAGAGGAGGATCGGAAGGGTGACAAGTGGGGGTTGGGCATTGGAGGTGAAGGCGAGAGTGAGGAGGGGTCCTCTGGTGATGGTGATGTCAGCGAGAGCAAAGACTTGAAAGTAAGAAACCCTAGTTGGGTGGTGTGTGTATGCATTCATTCATTTTAACCAGGGCATGATGACGTGTGCAGCAGAGCGAAGGGAGAGTTTCAGGAAGGAGGAAGTCACCAAGAACGTCAAATGCAACCGAGGGCCATCGAACAACAAGGAATAGGTCATTGCTGACCTTTACAAAGCAGTATCTCAGGATTGGGTAGGACCTGAGCCAATGACATGGAGTGACATGAATACAAGGTTATTACATTTTTATTATTTTTTTCAGGCTACCGGAGATTGGAGCATGTTTACAGACCAAAAGAAAGGCACCTGGAGACATGAAGAGAGTAATGATTAATAGAGCAAGGTACAGGAAGATAAAGCTGAACCTGGCTTTGGCAATGAGAACGTCACTGGTAACCTCCAAGACAGCAGGCTCAGCAGCATGGCGGGAGTTGGGGGTGGCGGGGTGTGGAGCAGAGGGAAGTGGAGTGAGGAGGGCAAGGGCTCAAGAGCTGGCCGCTGGAGCACAGGAGATGCCGTGGGTAGGGTGGGAACAGCCACACCTCAGCAACAGGAGAAAGGGACTCAAGGGTGTGATTACCCACAAATTCCTGTTTTGGAAAACAGAATGTTCAGAAGCTGGTAGGTCAGGGCTTAGGGTGCTTGCCTGTCCCGGGAACATACATGCATTGAACTAGAAACAACACCAGAAACCAACCTCAGCCGGATCTGCAAGGGCAGCCTGACCTTTGCCACTCCCCAGATCTCTTCCTGAGAGTGGCTGCTTACCTCCAATTAGTCAATTATTTACAATCTTTAGTATTAGCCAAAAAGGCGCCGTTTTGCATTTAGTAATCCTGGGTTCTATTCTGGGGATGACCGCCCCTTGCTAACCATAGTCATTACCTTGTATCAAGCACCTCCCTGTATTTGTGTTCAGCCCTGGGAAATGCATCAGCCCCCTGACCTATACACAGGTGAGTGAGTGAAGCAGGGTTATTCAGGGACCTGTCTGACATCTGTGTCTCGGCCAGGAAGCGTCACAGCCAAGACTGAAACATCTGTAAAACCAGTAGCCACCATGCAGGCGCACCTATAATCCAATACTTCCCTCAGATTTCTTTTTAAAAGGTCTCATAGGTGGAATTTAAGAGAAAACAGAGAGGATATCATTGTTTTACGTTGTTTTTGCTTCAAAATACATAAAGTCCCTTATATTTAAAATTAAAAATTTTTTTATTAGACAAAATTCAAATGTTTATTTCACATAAATAAAGGATGATACTACACAGAATTAACTGTCGTACTTTGCTGTTTTCTCCCAGACTTCCTCTAGGCATTACTGTGTGTATGTGTATAAGTATATGTGGATGTGGATATATTTCCTTATAGGAAGAGCATCATATGAACATACCCACACATAAAAATATAGTTTCAACACTATTTTTGATGGCTGCCTTGGAATACTTTTGTAACAGACTTATCTATCCACGATGTACTTGGGAAGATAAATGATCATGAATAAGATTACCTTACATTTTACTTAATAGATGCTAGGAGGACAGCTGTTCAAATTTTTGCTTTTTTAATTTTTATTGATTGATTTGAGGGACAGAGAGAAACATTAATTTGTTGTCCCACTTATGTATGCATCCCTTGGCTGGTTCTTATATGTGCCCTGACCAAGGATTACACCTTCAACCTTGGCATAGCAGGATGATGCTCTAACCCAGCGGTTCTCAACGTGTGGGTCGCGACCCCTTTGGGAGTCGAACGACCCTTTCACAGGGGTCGCCTAAGACCATTGGAAAACACACATATAATTACATATTGTTTTTTGATTAATCACTATGCTTTAATTATGTTCAATTTGTAACAATGAAATTGGGGGTCACCACAACATGAGGAACTGTATTAAAGGGTCGTAGCTTTAAGAAGGTTGAGAACCACCGCTGTAACCAAATGAGCTACCCACCCAGGGCTGTTCAAATTTTTAAATAATTTGTTTTGAAGTGCCCTAATTGTTCAATGTAGTTTGGAGGGTGGGAGAGGATAGAGATTAGTCTCTCAGGAGCCAGACTGCCTGGGCTTAATCCCAGCTCCCCAATTTATTAGTGTGTGACCTTGAACGAGTTGGTTAGCCTCTCTGAGCCTCAGTTTCCTGATCTGTATAAAGGGGAATAATATGACCTAGATGAGTGAGACCATGTAAAGTGCTTAGAGCAGTACCTGACTCATAGTAACATTCAATCCATGTTTGTGTTTCAAATGACATGCCTCTGTATTATGTTAAAAAAAAATTGCTGAGTCATTTAGACCAAAAAAATCCCAGAGTTAGTTTGACACAGCTGTGGCAGATGTAGAAGATTTCGGGGTTGATTCCTGGAATGGGGACTGAGAGTTTGTATTTTTACAGAACTCTCCAGGTGAGTGATTCTTAGAATCAGGTCTGTCTGACACCCAAATCTATGCTTACAACAGTTATGCTCTATGGCTTCTTTCACACTCAATATGAGTGTGCTGTGCTCTGAAGTTTTCCTTACCTCCCTTACCTTCTGCTTTAACTCACAAAATGAGGCCTATTAGCTGGTGGCCATTAGGAGGAAACCATGGTTTCTTCCCAAGAACACAGCAGCCTTCTTAGAGCCCAACTTTGAGACCCTACTCCTTAGTAAAACCTCCAAAAGAACAGTCCGAGATAGATTCCAGAAAGTTAAATATTGTATAAAAGCACCCATGGAATCCCATTTGCCATTGTTTCCATTATAAATTACTAAATAAGGGTCAGATCCCACAGACCAGGCTCAGCTGATGCCAGTCCTTTGCCCCCTCAAAACTGCTACAGCCTTCACCCTCTTCACCAGCACTACCCATACCTGGCCATCTCTGAGTTTCTCTGCCAAAAGGCTGAGCTCCTTGTGCCTGAACCATACCACTAATCCTAAACCAACCGAAACACTAACCCTAACCCTAGCCGTAGCCCTAATACTAGACCTAACCCTAAA